GAGACCGCCTCTCCCCTATTATATCTACCTGTCTCATTGGTCCAGCAGGAGAAGCGTGCTCCGGGTCCCATCTGTTAGGGAATGTCATCTGGTGGGACCCAAGAAGACAGCCTTTTCTCTCATGATGCTTGCCCTTTGGAATATCATCCCTCTGGAAATTATATTGGCCCTGACCCTACTGGTCTTCCATCTATATACTACTAAAACTCTCATGTCTGTTTGTAACCTTTAACTGGGCAAAATGGTGCTTCATAGGCCAACCATTTTTGAACCAAGGTACCTCAAATGAGCCAACTTACAGAATGCATCCAAAATCCGAGACCCATGATTCCCATGGAATTGAAATTTGGCAAATTTTAGAAAACATTTTATGACATAAAATTTATTATAAAACATGTTATGACATAATACAAAATGTCGTAAAACATTTCCTGCCGTCAACTCCTGATGTTTGAGTTCAATATGAATAACATGGGGTATTTTCAAGGCAGATACATCTGTGAATATCTCCCTGAATTTTTAAGAAGTTTTCCACTGAAGGCACTACATTAGAAGCTCTGCCATTGTTGAAGGTACTGAGGAATCTGGTAAGGAAGTACCTCTGAAACGACCCAATGGGTCATGGGTTGTCTAGTAAGGCCTTAAAGACATGGCTTTGCCACTGGGCTTGGGGATCTGGGTGTGCAGTAGAGCCTGTACAGTAGTTGTGTTGAATGTTGACCATTTTGTTTTGTTTTGTATTGCTTTTAATTGTAAGCCACCCAGAGTCATGCATTTGAGGTGGGTGGCTATATACGTACGTACGTACGTACATACATACATACATACATACAATAAACAGCCTTGTAAAAGTAATAACAATAGAACTGTGTTATAAATTGATAGCCAGCCATTCAACCAAAAATCAAATGCCAAAGTGGAAAATAAATCAATTTTGAAAATAATATTAGCAATCTACACAATTTAAAACAACACAACTAAAAATCAGAAAATAAAAACAAGTTTGAAAAAGTGATGAAATTTGAGCAGCAAAATAATTGCAGGAATTATGGAAGAATTAAAATAGCGGTAGCAACTTCTAAGAAAAAATGAATGGTATGAAAGTAGGATCAAGCAATTCCAGCAAAATAGTCAATTTCAAACAAATTGAGTTGTGTGCCAGTTGCACCCATTTCTGGATCAGGAGGCTCTGCTTGCAGTCACTCATGCCCTAATCACCTCCAGATTGGACTGTTGTAATGCGCTCTACGGGGGGGTGCCCTTGAAGAGTATCTGGAAACTTCAGCTGGTACAAAGTGGAGTGGTGTGGGCAGTTTTGTATGGTCCTAGGACAGCACATGTTATACCTCTGCTCCATGAGCTGCACTGATTGCAAATTTGCTTCTAGGTTCAATTCAAGGGGCTGGTTTTAACCTTTAAAGTCCTTCATGGCATGGGACTGGGTTATTTGAGGGACTGCCTCTCCCTTATTATATCAGCCCATCCCATTAGATCTGGCAGAGAGGGCATGCTGCAGATACCATCTGCCAGGGATTTATATCTGATAGGTACCAGGTGGCAGGCCTTCTCTGCTGTGGCGCCTTCCTTATGGAATATTCCCCCCCCCCCGAAATTAGGTTAACTTCATCTCTCTCGAAGTTCTGGAAGTCACTCAAGACCTGGTTATGTCACCAGGCTTGGAGGTCCCAGGGATACGGAGATATGTCTTGATGGCTCCACTATTGAGGTGGATATATTCATTCTCTCTCTGCCAGTGGTTTGTATATTTTTAATTTTAATTTACTTCTATTTTTTAATGTTGACTTTTTATACTTTTTTAATGTTTGTTTTTATGTATACATTGTTTTTTATTTGATTGTTGTATGCCACCTGGAGTTACTTTTTGTGAGATGGGCAGCTATATAAATGTGATTAGTAGATAAATAAATTAATAAATCAACATAATTTTTTCTAAGGCCTAACTAAAAACACAAAAACCGACTGAAACCCCTAAAAACAAGGAAAAACAACTGGAATTTTGGAAAAATAATGGGAATAATTAAATAAAACACAATGAAATCGGTTTCTGATATAGGAAAACAAGCAAAACCTAAACAAATGGAAAAATATTGTAGTAATAATAGCAATTGTAAAAGCACAAGCTAAGAGGATGAAGAATTGGAGTGCATCAGGAAAAGAAGGCTCATGGATTTTGGTTCAAACATCTATCCATTTTACATTCTTGTCTTACAAATCATTTCAATCAAACGTTACAGCAACGATCAATAGACTCACTACATCTGAATATTTCTGATCATGAAAGACAAAATTAAAGGAACAATATTCCAAAATTTTAATCCAATCATTTGCCTACAACATTCAAGTTGTTAACAGAAATAATTGCCAGTAACATCTGCAGACCCCTGATTTCAAATTCATTATACCCTATAGAGAAAAAGGGAATTTCAAAAATTCTAAGGGTACAAAAGACTAAATTTTGTTTGATAAAACAATTATTTAAAAACTCAAAATTGTGTCAAGCCAAACTTTATATGGCTTGACTTCATTTCAGAAAAGCATATAGCTCACTACTCCATTGTTGGATTTTAAAATGTTTGGACATCTTTGTAATTAATAAGAAAATTATAATGTTTAAATAATGCAGTAGAAAAAATATGGAAAAAAACACTGATGGCAAGCAAAGAAGAATTTGGAGAAATCAAATTCAGAAGAAGAACCTTTTAAGGAGACACTTTGTCTTCATTGCTTTTTAATATGATTCCACTTACGATCATTTTGAGTAAAACACCATCAGGTTATGAATTATCAAGGGACACAAGTCTCACATTTGCTTTACATTGACGATTTGAAACTATATGCAAAATCATCTAGAGAAATACAGTAGCTTTTAAATACAATTTGAGTCTTTAATGATTACATCAAAAAAATTGGCTTGAATAAATAGGCAATACTGGCGATAAAAAAAAGAAAAAAATTAATACTTAGATGGAATTGAACTATGGAATCAAGATATAACAGTGAGGAAAGTGGTAAGTATCTGGATGTTGTAGAAACATAATATTTTGCATGCTTGAGTGAAAAAGAAAGCCAGCTTGGAATATCTGGCACAAGTTTAGAAAAGCATTGAAGCTGAACTGCGGTAATACAATCAAAGCCATTATCCTCTAATATACTACACAATAGGTATTGTTGACTGGACAAAAACTGAACTAGATGCTTTAGATCACAAGACCCCAAACTTACAACAATATATCACTACACCCAATAAGCAACTTAGATTGTATTTACCAAGGAAAATTGGTAGTCTTTAATTGCATGTGAGCCAGACAGTGGATGATGAAATCAGAGGTGTAAATGATTACATAAAAGCAAGCAAAGGGAGGATGTTAAAGTCTGCAAGGCAAACCTTTTGAATATGATGGAATACAGGACTGAACATTTACAACAGTGAATGAAAAATTGGAAAGATAAACCGCTGCATAGTCAATAGCTGAAAGAAAGTAGTAACAAAACTTGATAATGGCTTCAGATTGGATCCATCAAGAAGAAACGTAAGAATTACCATTTACAGCATAAAAACAAGCACTAGCAGCAAGTGCCACAAAAATGAACATTTAAAAAACAGGAAACAGCAAATGTAGATTATACAAAGGGTAAGTCAAGACTATTGACCACCTAAAAAGTGGTTGAAGCAACATTGCCCAGACATGATTGCATGGCAAAATGGTATGTTGGAATTGATGCCCCAGAATATTAGTATGACCGTATGTTGAAAGGGTGCTCCAGAATTACCATGTAAAAATGTTATGGAACTTCCAAATTCAGATTGACATCTGGAATGCAGTATGTTGGACATCACAGGAGTTGAAGAAAAGTAGGCTTTAGTAATAGACGTAGTAATGCCAAATGACAGCAGAGTGGCTCAAAAGGAACTGGAAAATATTGTAAAATATTGAGACTTCCTCAGTGAAATACAGATATTATGAAATAAGCCATCAACAGTTTTCCCCATAATCATTGCAGCATTAGGAACTATAGCAATAGAATTGTCAAAATAATTGAAAAAACTAGAATGATTTGACCTCACAGTATTTAGTTTACAAAAAAACAGCCTTGCTCTGAACCACATAGATATTTATA